AAGAGGTAGTGAAGAAAAAGATGGATTCTACCATAACAGTCTAAAAATAGATTCAATTATACATAATTTGAAGTTAAAGTATCTACAGAACAAACAGCTCCATCTAGAGGTTAAAAATCAAGCGATGTTAAAGCAAGCTTACAGGTAAAAGGTTCTAAGTCCTCTTAAAAATACCCTCTAAAATGGTCTGCAAGACCTCCCAATTAAAATAAAAAAAAGGCTTCAAAGCACGTTTTTACATAAAAGTCACCTGATCTTTAAGAATCTGAAAGTTTTTCATTAAAAACAAACTGAAGTCAAATCTTGGAATGAAAATACCCAAAATCAAAGCCTGCTCATTCACACCTTAAGCTTCCTGCATTGCAGTGAAATTCACACTGAAATCCTAGCCTCAGGGAAGTCAGTAAAATTTGCCAGTTTTCCATGTGATTGAGATTCCACCACCACAGAACGTAAGTCAAGGCCTTCCAGCATTGCTTCAACAAAAATCTATACCCATGCTCAACACTAAGTGAATGGTCCAATAACGAAAGAAGCTTCTTGCGCATGCAGCACTTCTCAGGCCCAATCCTTCACACTTAACCTATCATCCTCCATTTATTTCTGCAAGAGTCAGAATGCCCCTGCTAAGTTGTTACATGTGCCAGAGCAAGCTATATTTTGCATGTCATCTTTCGAAGTAATTCATCATAATCGTATTTTTATGTCTACAGGGAAACAATTACTTACACATTTTAGGACAAAATCCAGGCTTCAGCACGCTGCTCAAGAAACTACACCAGGTGCAGGTAAAAGAGGCCAGTTCTTTTTCCTGGCAGTATGGGAAGGAACCAAATGCACAGCTCCTTGCATTCATTAGCAAACACTCTTCTGTGTGGCATCTGCAGCAGCAGATACATAGCCTCCGGCTGCCTTCCTGCACCTTATCCCTCAGTTCTAAAACAATAAAGTTGTATTTGTCTCCCCAAGTCTTTCCAAAGATCATCAGCTACCTGGCCAACTGATTTTCAGAATAGATTTTCTCTAATATACTCTCACTTCACTACAGATCTTTAAAGCAGATGGATAGTCATACCTCCAACTCTCCTGCTTTAAATCTTATTTTCTCCACTTTATACTGGTTCTGGACACTCTCCATCTAAACTCTACACATGCATAACAGTAATGCTTAAATAGATCATTGTGGATATCCTCATAATTCCTTCCAGATTGTGTTTTACCAAGCAGCCTGCATTTAAAAAAAAAAAAAAAAAAATCACATAAAGGCATTGTTTCTTGAGCCCGTACTGGATGCTTCCTAGCTGTGCCTCACAATACAAGTAGTGATACAAGCAGAATAAAAAGGGTCAGAAAATCAGGAGCAAAGGACTGCTGCTGGAAAACCGTTGGCTTAGAGGTTTGCCGCATTACTGCTCCAGAACAAAAGCATGCTTTGTTTTTCACTCCATGCTTCTGGTAACATTGAATTGCCTCACGGTGTTTTTCCCACATTTTGTACGCTACCCCTATCTTTATCCTCTTCAAACTCTTATCCCTCATTCTTCCCTTCCATACTGCTTTTTCTGTTTACCTGTTCTAGAACTGTACTTTCTTATGGCATCCCTACTCTCTTTTTAGTCTATGTGTTCGATTCTTCTTAGCATCATGAAAAGATAAACATAGTTTACGATATATCAAAACACCCCTTCCACCTGCCCCCTGAAAAACACTAACATTAACAAGCCAGAACCAGTAAAACAATGGAGAAATCATTTTATTATCATTAATACATGATTTTTAAAAGTCCAAGTGCTGCACCTCCTGAAAACCAGGCTATTTTGTGCTTAAAGTTTAATTTGGAAACTTATGCAAGTATGAAAATACTTGTCCAAAAGATACTGCACAAACTAGTCTTGAAAGACTTCTACAAGGTAACACATTGTTCCAATATTTGAAATAGCACTCACCAGGAACCTTTCTTAACATATCCTACAAGATTGATTCACATACTGGCTTTCTTTGAAAAGTGTTCAATTTCTTTGAACATGGAGATTCCAAATTTTTAAGAAGTGTCTTACAGTCTCTTAAGTTCTGGGTACCTAGCAAATACAAATCAGAGCTTGCAATAAGAAGTAGGTGCCAGAATTTCCTCCTGATTATTTATCAGAGTTTGAATACAAACATAAGTCTAAGATTATCAGTTTAATTTGCCACAGCAGAAGCAAGTCCCATTTTGTTTTTATTTAATATAGCATGTTAAACAACTCTTGAATCTAGAGCACAGTATTGCAAATTCCTAGGAATCATGACTGAGGATTACAAAAAATTGCTATTAACTCTGGAAAAGACTTCAAAAACTCAAACCTATTTTTATCTTCTATTAACATGTACTAGCAGAAAGAAATAAAGGCCTTTCCATGGAGCTGTTCATAAACAATAGCTCCCTTTTCATATGCAAGTTCACCAATTTAATGCCAAAAATAAAGTCACTACCTTTTCAACATATGAGAGCCCACACAGGGAGCAAGGAAAAGTAAACTGTTTTCTCCCTCAGCATTCTACTCCAGGATCTCAAATTCAATAATCTGTACCTCAAAAGATACTTTAAAATCATACTTCAACTTCAGCATTGCAACATTACTCCCACAGAGGAAAACATTGATTTCCAGCATGAAATGAAGAAACAGCAGCTCAAAACAGCTTTTTAATTGCTCTGAATGTCAACCACAACATACATCAAAAGCTTTGACATTTTTTCTTGGTCACAATCCAGCTTGCTGACCCTACTTAAAATTGTAGGGCAATGAAAATATAAACATTTATTTCCTTTTGGAATAACCTGTATGCCAACTCATCTTTTAAGAACAAGCTTAGTCTTGTTAGTCTAATTTTGCAGCTCTACTGTAAGATCTCCTAGTGCATACAAACCACCTGGTGTTGGGGTAAGCGCAGTTTCCTTTAAATCCCATTAACATAGGTACCAGGAAAGGGAAAAGGATTGACAAAAACACCATTCTGCAGCAATATTAGTTCATGCAAAAACAAGAAATATCAGGAGCTAAGCTGTGCTTTCACTTAAACCTCCTTAAGGAGAATAAATCAACTGACGAGAAATTTTTAAATTAAAAAGTACTCCAACAAACAGAAAGCAAATCCTGATTGCTCACACGTTCATTTTTGGTGTTCTAAATTAGCTAAAGAGATGGCACCAAGTTACTAAGTTTACAAAATACTTAGATCAGGCTAATAACAAACGTCTTCCAGAAAATAAGTATAAACTTGACCTAGGAAGCAAACAACTGATGTTCCTCTGGCTTTGTAAGTGTTTTGCAGCCCAAGATAAGCAACCTAATGTTAAGCTCAAGACCAAAGAAAATTGCTACAAATACTTCTGCCACATGAGGTAATTGCATACAAATCTCTTTACCAGAAAATGTAACACTATTTTCTCTGCAAAGAGCCAACTTCAGTTTAAGTTCAGTTTTGAGGCAATTCCTGTATCAGAAAGTGCTGGCAGAATTTGCACTAATAATTGCCCATCCACAAAGCTTACAAAGGAAAGTTTCACCATCACTCATTCTTTATTGATAACACAAACCACTGGAGAATTTTTTAAAATTCCCTATCCTCCCTATAAACGCTTGCAAAAAATGATACTTGGAAGCAACTGAACTGGGCTTTGTGTTTTTCCAGGCATCATTTCCTCAGAGTCATAGCTGTAAGCACTTAGAAACTGGCAGCTTAATAAAGAAAATACCCATTCTTTTAAAGACACTAATGTATTTCAAAGTTTATTTCGAGATGGTAGAGACTACAGGCCTTTGCTGAAATGTGTATTTTTTTTAAATCAGGAAAAAAAATCTTCCTTAAACCCAGTTTCCTTTAAATTGATTTAAGCACAGGCTGAGCAAGCATTTTGAGAAGTCCTTCAGTCTGTTTCTTTACAGAGATGTTTTGAAGAATTGCTCATGTGTATGAATAAAGGCTGTTTCTTCATTTCACAAGAAAAGAGTATGTTAGGGAAATACAAACTGTGTGATGTTAGAAGTTAAAACTGGCTGATGCCACACTATTTTTACAGCTTAAAAGAATCTACCTCCTTAACTCCTCAAAACCAAAACTGATTATTGAAAGTACTGTTACATTACTAACAGTTGAATCTACTTGTCACTTTGGATTAAACATGCTTCTGTAAATGACTTTAAGACTAAAAAAAAAAAAACAAACCAAAAACAAAAAACCCCACAAAAATACTTACATTGCATTTACTTTATCTTCTGGGCCCTGAACTTGGCCCGTTACAGTTCCTTGACTCGTATTTTTAACCCAGCCAACCACTCCTAATTTCCTAGCTTCCTCTTCTGTGTACTGATTTGAAAAACAACAAAAAAGGACAATCAGTATCAGCACATACACCACATATATACCACTTAAAACCTCACTTTCATTTTCATAGCTTTAAGACCTACACTTAAGAAAAAAATTAGCCATAGACGATGCTCATACTCAGGCATTAAGATATTCTTGTCAGCTCTGAAGTTGCAGAAGCAGCCAACTTTTGAACAAGAATGAGTTTTTACATATACAATAAGACATGAGTTAATTCCCACTTCCATTTTCACAGCTTTTAATACTTTTCTTCAAAAAAACTACAGATACAATGGCTCCCACCAAGACACTACACTGCTTCTAACAAAAGTAATCTTCCTCTTTGCTTTATCATGTGTATATGCATAGAAACCTTCTGATGGTGCGAGGCAATTTTTTTCCATTCACAGGAAGGCTAAAGACTTGCTCCCCTTATTTCCAGGATTTTTAACACAATTTTGATCACAAAGGACTCTACTAATGCCACACCACTCTCTTGTACCTACTCTGTTCCTTTCTGTAGCTCCTATCACTGCTCATTTGCCTCTTCAGTAATAACAGTGTCTAAACCCATTAAATTTGCTACATGTACAAACTTCATAGTTTCATTTTAAATCCTTTCCACCTGACTTTCACCCCTTAAATTCCACCCTCAGCTGCTGCATTACTACAAGCAAAGAGCAGCAAAGGTCATAATCCAATTATACTGGTTTTCAAATATATTTGCAATACTAGAACAAATTATGGTTTCCCAGCTATGCACTTCTTTTGATGATATCAGGAACTTTCAAGTACTCTGTTTTTTGAGGTGGGGTGTTGGTTTTCAACTTTGTCATTCTCTTTCATGTACATATGAAATACATGCACAGTTTTCACAATTTGTGTCTGAACAGTGAAATGGTAAGGAACAGAAAGGCTCTTTTGCAGAAATCCATTAAATTTTTGTTCCATGTAGGCCAATAAACACACTATTAGCCAATACACAGTACTTAATTTCATTAATACCAAGTTTATTTACATTAAAGGTACTGCCTTTGTTTTGCTTCTTGCATGTTTAGTAAAGAGGTATAAGGCTGAGGCCCATGTTTTTATCTTGTATTACAGAACACCAACAGACTGATAGCTCTAACAAGTTCTGAGAGTTTTCAATACATTTTCATGAGAAATAGCCACCAAATTTTTTGAGCATGTGCAGTAATACCCAAAACAGTACACAGATACTAAATGCACACGCTGCATTATCAGCATCTTTAGACACTTTTCTAACACCAACAGCCAAACTTCAGGTCAATATGACTACATTCCAAAAGATTAAACAAATGTTGAGGCAATCTAGGCAAGAAAAAGGTGTTGCTAAGTATGAAGAGTATTTTTCAATTTGATTATGAGCAGCTTCTTCATACAAACTTGTCCAAAAGCATGGTAATGCAGCTGACCACCTGTTTCTCAATACTGCTCAGGACTGGCACTGTGGTGTGTTCACATGGTTGCAGGTCAGCTCAACACAAGGCAGAGCAAGCGTGCACCTGCCCACCACAATGTGGGGACACACACTATTCACTCGATAGAATAATTGAATTCAAGACATACCATATTGTAATCCTCTATCCATTTCAATTTTGCACTATTTCACAACACATATAAACTATGCATAAAAACTTTTAGGTCTAATATTAAGCATGGCCCACTATTTTCAGACAAAGAACTGTTCTTTTTTGAAATGCGTCCTCCTCTTTCTTGGGTTTCTGTGAGAACACTACCTGCTGCAGGTTCAGAGCTGGTGGAGATGTTTGGCTGGGATGGGAGCCACAGACTGCACATTTGTAGCACATCGTTACAAGGAAACACAGTAAGCTTCTTTACATAGCAGCACTATAATTGCGATTAAAAAAATTTCAACTGGAACACATTGTTTCAGAAGCTAATATCAAGATCTTCAGATTTAACCTTTCTAAAGATTAACATGTTATAATGCTCTTGTGGCTGTTATATCACAAGTAATCCAAACACAATCTTTATATACCATACAAACATGTAACACATTAGTAAGCTTTTAAAAATCCATTTTAATATACCAGTAATACAAAACAGGTATTTTTCCCTTTTCAATAAACTAGCAATACTTAACCACCTAACCTAGAACTGAAAACAGCAGTTGGATATGTTCATACTCTACAGACCTGATGCCATATTTTTAGCACTGGAAATACTATACTGTAAAGTAGAACTGGTAGAACAGATAGTGTCTTACCATCCTGAAACAAACACCTAGAAAAGAAAAAAAAACAAGACATTAAAATAATTTTAAAGACTACCACTTCTAGGCATTTACTTTAACTCTATATTAAGAGAAACCGTATAGAAGTCATCTGTGGTCTTTTCTTACAGACATTTTGGACAGCAGTTATGACATTTTAACACTGGGAAAAACTCTTACAGTAAATTTGGATACAAGCCGGCCTTGAGTCTTCCCTTCGACAAACGATTATTTTAATTAACGCAGTTAGCGTATGTGGCTTTCTGTAATGAAGACGCTGCAGCATGAGAACTGCCTTTGACTTAATTTTCACTTAAAAGCTTTGCTGCCAGC